CTGGAGGACTTGGCCATGGGCTAAGCAAGGCCAAGGTGTCCCCAAATGGCTGGGGACAACCCAGGGTGATGTGAGCTGGAGGGGACACAGTGTCTGGGATGGGTGCTGGGGTGATCACTGACCATCAGTGTCACGAGCTGGGCGGGCTCAGCTGGACAGAGAAGGCAGGGCAGGTGGCTGCTGTGGCTACTGGGCCAGGACACGGGGTGGCCACGTATCCCCCATGGAGTGGCCAGCTGTGACCGGCCTCGGCAGGGTCAGCACCCAGGGTGGGGGCACCCATGGGTGCTGTGTCCAGCTGTGGGGGTGTGGGGGTGCCAGGAAGGGGTATATGTGTGTGTGTATGTACATGTGTGTGCACATACGTGTGTCCGGGGGAGGGGGAGTGTGTGTGCACAGATGTGTGTGCGGGGGTGTGTGCACATACATGTGTGCAGGGGTGTGTGTGCACATGTATGTGCACATATGTGTGTGCGGGTGTGTGTGTGTGCACATATGTGTGTGTGCAGGGGTGTGTGTGTGTACATATGTGTGTGTGCAGGGGTGTATGTGTACATGTGTGTGCACATACGTGTGTGGGTGTGTGTGCACATACGTGTGTGCGGGGGGGTGTGTGCACATGTGTGTGCACATACATGTGTGCAGGGTGATGTGTGCACATATGTGTGTGTGCGGGGGTGCACATACATGTATGCGGGGGGGGGTGAGTGTGTGTGTACACTTACAGAGCTCCATGTGCAAGTGTGGGTGTGTGTGCGGGGGGGTGTGTGCACATACGTGTGTGCGGGGTGATGTGTGTGTGCACATATGCGTGTGTGGGGGTGTGTGTGCACATACATGTGTGCAGGAGGTGTGTGTGCACATACGTGTGTGCAGGGGTGTGTACACATATGTGTGTGCAGGGGTGTGTGTGTACACGTGTGTGTACCTTTGTGTGCACATATGTGTGTGCAGGGGTGTATGTGTACATGTGTGCGCGGGGGGTGTGTGTGCACACTTACAGAGCTCCATGTGCAAGTGTGGGTGTGTTCGCGTGCGTACGTGCCCGCATACATGTGTGTGCATGTGCATACATGTATGTATGCAGAGGTGGGCTTGCATGTGTGCTTACACACGTGTCTGCACGTATGTTTGCACATGCAGCCATGTGCGAACGGGTGTCGTGTGCGTGTGTGTGCCTGTGTGCACTTACAGAGCTCCATGTGCAAGTATTTGCACACGTGCGTGATTGCATACATGTGGCCTGCACATGTGCAGTGGGGTGTGAACGGGCACGTGTGTGCAGACTTACAAAGCTCTATATGCAAGTGTGTGTCTGTTTACATGCATGTGTGGCTGGATACACGTGTGTGCACGTGCATGTGCACATGTATGTGCAGAGATGGGTTCCCATGTGCACTGATGCAAATATTCATCCATACATATATGTGTGTGCACATTCAGCAGTGTGCTCTGCACATGTGCAGCTGGGTGTGAACGGGCGCACGTGTGTGTGTGTGTGTGTGCACACTTCTAAAGCTCTATATGCAAGTGTGTGTCCATTTGCACGCATGTGTGACTGTACACACGTGTGTGCACGTGTGTATGTGTAGAGATGGGTTCCCGTGTGCACTGATGCAAATATTCATCCATACATATATGTGTGTGCACATTCAGCAGTGTGTGAACAAGTACACGTGTGCACATCCGTGTGTGCACATGCATGTGCATGCACTCTTACAGAGCTCCACGTGCAGCTCCATGTGCATCTTTGCATGAAAGTATAAACATGTGTGCGTGTGTCGTGTAAGGGGAGTGTACATGTGCACGTGGTCATCTGTGCATACGTGTGTGTGCACGTGCAGCAGTGTCCAGACAGGTGTCAGGCACGTGTCTGTGTGTGCATATGTGTGCACACTTACAGCAATTCATGTACAAGCATGGGTGTGTTCACACATGTTCACACCCGGCTGCACATGCGCAGACAAACACATGCAGAAATGCACATGCAACCCCCCCCTTAGCACACACACACGTATGTTTATGCACACACACACGTATGTTCATGCACACACACATGTGTGCAGTCCTGTACGCATGCAAACATGCAGCTGGAGCTCTGTGAATGTTCACACTCTGCTGAACATATAAACGTGCATGATCATGTGTGTGTACACATGAAAACCCTTGCATGCATACACATGTGCACACGTATGCAATCACACACATGCAAATGTATCCACACTTGCACACGGAGCTCTGTAAGTGCACACAGGCACAGACATGCACACGACACCCGTTCGCACATGGCTGCATGTGCAAACATACATGCAAACACGTGTGTAAGCACACATGCAAGCCGACCTCTGCACACTTACATGTATGCACATGCACACACACATATGCAGGCATGTATGCGCGCGAGCACACCCACACTTGCACATGGAGCTCTGTAAGTGTGCACACACGTATGTGCACCCCCCTGCACACACATGTACACACACACCCCCGCACACACGTATGTGCACACATGCAGAGCTGGGTTTGTACGTGCACATGTTCATCCACGAATATGTTTGCATGTGCAGAGGTGTGTGAACACGTGTCATGTGCACACTTAAAGAGCGCCGTGTGTAGGACTGCATACACACGTGTGCGTGTCCATGTGTATACATCCAAAAGTGGGTTTGCACATGCGTTTGTGCACATTTGTCCTTGCACATGTGTGTAGATGTGCAGCAGTGTGTGATCTGGGTGCAGGTGTGCACACCTGTGTGTGTGTACACACTTCTGGTGCACATTTACATGCGTGTGTGGCTGCGCATATATGTGTGCACGCACACATCAGCGTGTGCACACGTGTGTGTGTGCAGAGGGGGGGTTTCCCTGCACACGTGCTCACCCGTGCAGAGGTGTGTGTGCGTGTGCAGCGCCGTGCACGCATCTCTACACGCGTGTGCAAATGCACACACGCGTTTCCATGCAGGGGCTGTTGCAGGGGGGGTGTGTGTGTGTGCACGTGTGCGAGGGCACGTGTGCCCGTGCAGCTGCCCATGAGTCACACAGCAGCCCCCCCTCACCCCCCCCCAAGCCGTGTCACCCCGTGTCACCCTGCGGGGGGTGACACCCCCCCTTCTGTGTCCCCTCCGTGTCCCCCAGCTTATGGGGGGTGTGTGGGGTGTGTGTGCACACATATAAGTGCACAGACACACACGTGTAGCCTTTTGTGCATATATGGGAGCGTGGCTAGATATGCAAATGTATGCAAATGTGCTGTATAGGGGCGCGTGGGCATTTGCATATGCGGTTTTAGCCATGCTGAGGGGTGTATGGGAGGGTGTAGAAGGGAGGGGGGATAGAAGGGGGGGGGAGTGTAGAAGTG